CCCCCCCCAGCCCCATCTCTCCATCCCCAGATCCCCTCTCCTGAGCCTCAACCACCTTCACCTGGATCGCCTGCAGAGGCCCATTGCCCCTGCACCCGGAACCTCCCAATGAGCCCCTGTGATTTAAATTTCCCACTGAGCCACCCATCCCCACATTGCCCCATACAGAAACCTTTCACCCCCACACCTGGATCCCTCCACACCAAACCCCTCCACACTTGGATCCTGCTGGGTTGAGCCTGCCCAGTCACACCAGGTGTGCCTGGGGCAGAAAGGCAGGGCCCTGGGGTGTTTCTGGGGCAGGCCTGGCCCTTGTACTATGTCAGGGTCAGGTGCAGCCTCACTGCTGAGTCCCTGTACCGGGGGACATGGGGGCTTCAGAGTGATCTACCACCTCAATCCAGCCAGTGGCCTGTGCTCCCCACTGACATGTTGGAGCCACATTTATTTATTGACAAATTTTGCAGAATTTTAAAATATTGTGTGCATAATTTTTAATTTTTTGGCACAGAATTCCCTCAGGAGTAAATCCCAGGGCTGCCCGGGGGGGGGGGGGCAAGTGGGGCAATTCGCCCCAGGCCCCGCAGGGGCCCCCAAGCCCTGGCTGAGAATCCCTTCCCTAGCGCAGGGGGGCTAGAGGCTTCTCGGAGACACTGGTGGCCGCCGCACGGAGCTGCAGGACATGCCTCCACCTGCAGCGCAGCCCTTTTCCAGGGGCTCGATTGTCTGAGCTGCCTGCGGAGCAGGACCCAGGTGCTTCGGACCCGGGCGGAGGTAGGCAGGAGGGAGGCACTGGTGTGGGGCAGGCTGGTCCTGTCCTGCGCAGCACTTAGCCACGCCCCAGGCCCTACGGGGAGGTGAGGATGGGCGCGGGGACGCCTGGGCTCTGTGCCAGCCCTGCCACGGACTCCCCGCCGGCAAGCGGCACCACCCGGCTGCGCCCCATGCGAGTGCTCCTGCTGGGTGCGCCGGGCACCCAGGGGAGCTAGGGGGCTCCCCGCGCTCTTGCAGCACCGCTAACGGGCAGCTGCTAGGGACGGGGTGGGAGGTGGCAGGCGCTCTGGCTGTGCTCGCAGCGCGTCTCCCAGGCAGCGGGAGCTCCGGCTAGAAGGAGCGCTGCAGGTGGCTGGAGAGAGCGCACAGAGCGTATCTGGTGGCTGTGGGGTGACTCTGGCTGCAGGGGGCGCACAGAGCTGGGGTGGCTGGAGAGAGTGTGCAGAGCGCGACCGGTGGGTATGGGTGAGTGACTGCAGGGAGTGCGCAGAGCTGGGAGTGGAAGTTGGAGCAGTGGTGGGGGCATTTAGGAGTATTCTCTGCAATGAGTTTGTCAGGCCTCAGTGAGGGAGGGCAAGCCAGTCATTTGGAAATAGTTCCCGCTGTGCCTGGACAATGCTGTGTCCCGATCAATACTTGTCTGGAAAACTTGGCTTGTAAGCACAGCGTTGACTTTTGGAAGCAGAAATTCTCCCCCTCAAGAGGAAACAACCCCTTTGCATTTCTACAGTCCAAAACTCAGTCCGTTTTTTTCTTCAAATAGCCCTTAAAAATGTACTGTGGGGGCGAGAGCTTCCCTACGACAACCTTCAGCTTGTGTATCCCAGCGATGTAATGACTGGCAAACCAGGCTAATTTTAATGGAATCCAGGACAGTCTGCAGCCTGACAGACAGGAGACTTCACTGGCCTCTGCACCATGCTAATGGTCACACAGCACATTGTGTGGTAACCTAGCGCCGTGTCTGTGTACGTAGCTCTACGGTGAAAACCCAGTTGTGCTGTTAACTTGCAGGGCAATAATTTTCTGCCATTACCTTAACTCCAGTCAATAATATACCCTTTGGCGTGTCTTTGCACTTGGGTTATATGTACTCAGCTGATTTACAGTAGTAAATACCGTGTTCCCCCCAATTGACACAGGATCAATAGTTCACATTGGGCAGTAACAGTCCACTTATCCTCATCATGCAAGTTCTGAGCTCAAATTAGGAGCCCTGGTCATGGACAAAGGCCTGTTGCGTTAGGTGCTGTGCAAACACAGAACAAAAAGACGGTCCCTCACGTCCCCACACAGTGGTTCTCAAGTTTATAACCAGCTCTAATGCAAATGCAGAGCGTGAATAAAATGAACTAGCTGGCTGGTTTCAAGAGCTGTGGGGCAAGATAGACTGATTTGAGTTTGAGATTTTGTTTAGTTTTTCATTTGCTTTCTTCCTGGCCAACATTGCAGTAACTTGACTGCTGTGTCTAGACCAGGCAGGCCTGCTTTTAATGCTGTGGAGAAGTGCTCTAGCTGCTACAGCAAAGGGCCCTTTATAAATGCAGAACATAATAATCAGATCTATTACAATTACTACCAGGTGGCAGGGTCACCCGGGGGGTGGGGGGTGGGCAAGTGGGGCAATTTGCAACCTTTTTTTATGGAAGGGGCCCCCGAAATTGCTTTGCCCCATGCCCCCTGAATCCTCTGGGTGGCCCTGGTAAATCTTCAAACCTGCTTTTTCGCAGACAATATTTTTTGCTTTATTTCTACTCCTCATGGCTGAGTACTATGGAGCCAATAGATCATTTTGGCCAGTTCTCGAGGCTATATATCAGTTATAAGAAATCTGAAGCTCTGGATATATCGCTACTTTCACTTTTCTTCAGACTTTCCTCTTCGTTGGGCCCAAAACTCAGCCAGGCAGGCCTGCAAGTCCCCTCGAAGCACCACTCGGAGCATAATCAGAACATTTATCCTCTGATAAAAACCTTTAAAGATACAATGAATCACTGGAATCTCGTTTTCCTTAAGTGCATGTATACACCTAATTAAAAAGGTACCACATCCACCTGTTTTATATCATCTCCCACTATTTCCTATTCTATTCTCTGTGAGGGATATTAAGAAAATAAACAGCTCACAGAGTTTATTTGGATTAGAAAAGACAAGAATTACTCTAAAAAAACATAAAATTTCTTTGGCATTTAGGAGGCTATGACTAGGAGCTTCCTGATCTCTGACATTACATTCAGCTGTGTCACACTGTGAATTGGTCACACAGCATAAACATGTTTAATTAGAGCAGACTATGACTGAGTGAACTGCTCTGCCTTGCTTCTTGCACTGTGAATATACACTATTAGCCTATACGATTAAAGTTGAACCCTTTACTATACACCATGTTTAGGGCATGGAAACTTGCTTACCCTCATACAGGATAACCTCTGCCCCACCCCCTTCTCTTGTCAATCCATGGCAATCCCAATTTTAATCCAGAAGAAAGTGATAGCATCTGAAAAGATTAGTTAACAGCAGAGTCAAATAGTGCTAGAAAAAAAATATTGAGCTGCTCTTACAAGTAATGTTTGTCCCATTGCCTGCGGAGTCTGAAGTCAGACAAAAGGAAGAAAGCTAGATTTGATGGTATCCTCACTTGCATTTCTACCTTGACAGACAAGGTATCACTCTCCTCATGTGTGAATATTTTTATCTGAAATGAATGAACAGCATTTTAAAAATACAGAATGAAGAACATAAATGGACAACTTCACCAGCTTTTCACTTGGCAAGAGAACATGCAACATATGTCTGACAGGCAGTGAGATGCAGATGAGTATTTAAGATTAGTTTCTAAATCATTTTTACATTCAAAAGTATACATTTATGAAGAAAAGGATAATACATGATGGTGTGATATAGTACTAAGGGGTTTAATTTCATAAATTGGGGGTAGTTGAATTGCTCATGAGTGATGAAGGAATGAGTCATAAGCATCAATACAATCTCACATCCCACGTCACCATGTAGTCTGTATAAGCCAGTTATAGTATTGAAAAGCTGTTTCACAAACGTTTTAAATTTTTTTGGTATTTCTCTGCTGCGGAAGCCAGGCCAACTGTACATAGGGTTACCAGATAGCAACTGTGAAAAAAATGGGACGGGGATGGGGGGTAATAGGCGCCTATATAAGAAAAAGTCCTAAAAAACGGGACTGTCCCTTTAAAAACAGGACATCTGGTCACCCTAAACAGGTCTCAGGGTGTTTGACAGAGCCCACTTCCTGTGTGATTTCCACAAACACTAGGACACCCTATTCTGGTACAGAAAAAAAGCCTCTTCATTAAGGCCCCCAGATGCTCAGGCCACCTATTCAAAACAAAGGGCCAAATCCTGGGCCCTCTCAAAAATCCCCTGTGTTCCACCCAAGTGCAGGGACCTAGGATATTGGATTTAAAAGTCATGACATTTTTATATATCAAAAAGCTGTTATTGGCCCAGAATTCCATCTTGTCCCTGGGCCTTGAGCAGGTAAAAATATTGTAAATATTGACGGGGAGGACGGGGGACAAATACCTGAGCACCTTTCAGTAGTGTATGAAGCCACATGGCTAATGCCTGACATGTATTGTTTGTTCTCGCTCTCATCCTCTCTCCAGGAGGAGAACTGTGTGCGCAGTGGAGTATTTTGTTCCAGTAAGGTTTTGCTTTTGTTTTTCTTTAAATGTACATGTTGCTCTGGGTTTGTATTAGAGCTCTCCACACAGAGACTTAGTGCGCATCAGGCAGCGTATTGCAGATTCACACCCCAACTCTAAGTGTCCATGTGGACAAGTCCTTAGAGAAGCCAGGTGGAAGAAGTACTCAGACTAAATGTTTACTGTTAGGAGTATGTACTGTGCCTTTAAGAGCAGAGCACATGTTAGAGGGAAATAGACTGGGGTTAGTGAGAAGGGGTTGGAGGCAGTCTAGTGGCAGCTCCACCAGACACACAGTTAGGAGCTCATGGCTCTCTTTTAGCTTAGGTAACTCAGTTTTAATAGGGTTACCATCCGTCCGTATTTCCCCGGACATGTCCGGCTTTTGCGTCTCTAAATAGCCGTCCGTGAGGAATTGGTAACAAGGTTAAAATGTCCCGGGTTTTTTTCTCCCTCGCCTCCCTCCCTCCCTTCCATGCAGAGTGCGGCTGCTGATTGGGCAGCTTGACCGATTGAGCTGCTCCCATTGGCCTCCAGCAGCCAGAGCCCTCCCCTGCTCCCCCCTCCCTCTGTCTGCAGCCCTGTGTAACACACAAACCGACCCACCGGGCAGCATGTTTTGCAAACACGTGGAGCCAGAATGGTAAGGGGAGTCCGGGGGAGGGGCGGTCAGGGAGCGGGGGAGTGTTGGATGGGTCCCCGGCCTCCACCTGCCACCCCCACTTCACGCGCCCCCCCCCGTGGCCCCCTCCTTCCCTCCCTGTCCCTTGCCTGCTTGTACTGCCAGAGCCAGCAGCAACTGCTGTCTGCTGCCCCGGGTCCTAGCGTCCCCCATCCACTAATGGGAAGACAGGCTGCCCTTACCCTGCCCTTCCACCCTAGCCCCGAGCCTCTCCAACGCCCCAAACCCCTCAGCCCCAGCCTGAGCCCTCATCCCCCCGCACCCTAATCCTCTGCCCCAGCCTGAGCCCCCTCCTGCATCATGAACCCCTCATCCTCAGCCCCAACCCTCAGCCCCCTGCACCCTAATCCTCTGCCCCAGCCCTGAGCCCCCTCCTGCATCATGAACCCATCATCCTCAGACCCACAGCCCTCACCCCTGCATCCCCTCCTATCCCCAAACTCCCTCAACCCCCCACCCCCTTCCCACACACCACCTTCTGCCCTCAAACTCCCTCCGAAAGCCTGCACCCCCTCCCTTTGCACCGCCTCCCACCCCAAACTCCATCCCAGAGCCTGCACCCCTCACCCCCTCCTGCACACCCACCCCCTGCCCCAGCCCGGAGCCTGCACCCAGCACCCAAACTCTATCCCAGAACCTGCACCCTGCACCCCTCCTGCACCCTAATCCCCAGCACAGGACCTGCACCCCAGACCTCCTCCCCCCACCCAACCCCCCTCCCAGAGCCTTAGGCAGGTGTGGGGGGGGGGTCTGGGCACCACCAAAATTTCTACAGCCCTGCCACCCATGCGAGTGGATAAGGGTCAGGGCAGTCAGGGGACAGGTAGGGTCCTAGGGGGGGGCAGTTAGGGTGAGGGGTTCTCAGCAGGGGGCAGTCAGGGGACAAGAAGCAGGGAGGGTTGAGGTTCTGAGGGGGGCAGTCAGGGGGTGGGAAGTGGGAGGGAGTGGATGGGGGCGGGGCTTCCCCCCCCCCCCAGTGTCCTCTTTTTTGATTGTGGAAATATGGTAACCCTAGTTTTCAACCTATGGTCCGTGGACCCCTGGGGGTCCACCGACTATGTCTAAGATGGCCAAAGGTGTTCACACCTCCATTAGAAATTTGTTAGGGGTCCACAAATGAAAAAAGGTTAAAAACTACTAATCTAGGAGCTGTATCTTGAGAGGAAAGAACAGATGAATGAACAGTTTCCTTATAGACTAACGGGACTCTTACATTTTGACACTGGTGCTCTGGTAAATGTTGTTTCAGATATTAGTTTTAAAAGGTTAAAGAAAAAAACATGGGGAAAAAATGGTGAGCAAACAAGTTAAATTGAAAGTTTATAATGGGGAACTCATTCCTACTAGAGGTATGTGTGTACCAAGTGAAGGTAAAAGATATAACTGGTGCAAAAGTATTTTACTACTTTAGATGCATTGTCTGGATTCTAGCAGATTCCCTTATATGAGAGGAGCACTATATGGAAGATATTGCTTACTCAGATTACCGTTTGGTCTAAAATCTGCTCTAGAAGTCTTTCATAGAAATGTGCAGCAAATATTTGAGGGAATTGAAGGCACAGAAAGAAGCACAATAGAGGATCAGAATTACAGGTGAAAGAGAGCATTGGACAGGACTAAAGCAGAAAGCCTGAAGCTAAATAAACAAAAATGTAAACTCAGGCTCAGAGAAGTTAACCTATTTAGGAAAAAGGTTAACTGAATAAGGGGGATGTATTGATCTTACCAGAACACAAGATACAACAAATATGTTACATCCAGAAAATTAGGAGGGAGTACAGCGGTTCATAGGGATGACTAATTTTTTTGGTAAATTTAAACCTAATTTGGCTGCAGAAACCAGCAACCTCTGTGCACTCATGCAAAAGAATAACCAGTTGACAAAGGATGCTAACTTGGACAAAGAGTTTGGTAATTTAAAACAACTGATTCAGAAAACCTCTGTTCTAAGGTATTTTGACAGCAGGAGGCAGACCTAACTGTCCACTGATGCCTCCAAAGAAGGCATAGGGGCTGTGTTGCTACAAAAATATGATGAGCATTGGAGACCAAGGCATATGCATTCAGGGCTCTTGCAAAAACAGAATGCCACTATGCCCAAATTGAAAAGGAAGCTTTACCTCTGGTGCATGGTTGTAAAATATTTCATGTGTTTATTTTAGAAGACTGTTGCAGAAATAACATGGTTTATGGCCCCGGGGTAGCCTGCCACACAGACTACTTTGGATTTGGGAAGCCCAGGGCTTTTAGGGTCCAGAGCTCTGGAGCAGCCTGCACTTGGACTGCCTCAGATTTGGGGAGCCCACAGCTTCCAGGATTCATGCCTCCAGGGCTGCCTGCCAGATGAGGCTTCATTCCCTTTTCTTGGAGAATGTGACAGGGTGTATCAACCCCTTCGGACAGGCGGGGGTTAAGAAGCAACTCTGGGCTCAGGGGCCCCATCCCTCTGCCTGTGCTGAGCATGCTCGGGTTGGAGGTGGGGTTTAAAAGGCTGCCAGACATCTCACTCAGATGCTGGCAAGCCAGGGAGAAGGATGTGCTCTGGGATCTCCAGAGAAGGATGTGACCTGATTCCTCCACCAAGCCAGGGAATGGGGGGAGCTGCCGCTCCCAGAGACTGGGACCAGGGCCAGAAGCCCGGAAGGCAGCACTCCCCATGGATGAACGGAAGTCATGCTGGGATGCAGTACGAGGGACAGCCTCTGAGAGCCCTGGGTAGGAACCCGGTGGAATGGGAGGTCCTGGGTTTCCTTACCCCTTCTGTGAGCTGCACCCATGAAATGGAGCAACAGCACATGTGGCAGAGCCATCCATCCAGTAGGCAAGGATGCTACTGGAGACAAACCATTGGGCATAACTGCTGCCTTGGGCTCTAACCGCCAGGCAGGAGATGCTGCCTCCCACTCACAGAGAATTTCAAAAAAATTGTTTTCCTTTCCTAATCAGAACTAAACCAAATTTTGAAATATCATAATAATTCATGAAACAGAATACACTTTGTCTGCCCAGTTCTAATGGTGAGCATGATCTGGCCCTCCAAATGTTACTGAAGTTGGCATGCAACTGTTCCACAATTCTGTACTTACATTATCCAGAGTGCTGGTTATTTCCCATCCATATTTTGTTGCCAGGACTGTCAGGGTGGCTACACTGCTGTAACTCAAGTATGCCTGAAATGTAAGATATATTATTAAAAATGAAGGGCTGATATAAAAGAGAATCTCATTTCTGTACCATAGTTACCCCAGAATCACAAACCAGGCAAATGTATTTTTTCCCTTAAGTCGTCTTCTTCCAGAAAACACAGTCCAGTAGTTTCTGAATTAAATACTTTCAATAGCTGGATTGTGTTTTCACATGGCTGATGGCAAAAGAACCCTAATTAAAAACACTAATTTGGGTTTCTTTGATGGATAAAATAGAGCAAAAAAAAACCCTCTACTGCCAGAGAGACAATATTCCTCACCTATGAGGCTACTAAATGAATGGTATGCTTCAGTTTTCTTCTAAGTAATTAAAATCTGCTAGCAAATTAACCTCTTCACTGCTGTCAGATTGTGCACATATTTTGGCAGCTGCTTGAAAACAGAAGGTGCTATCAGAGGAGTGGATATCTGGACTGGATGCCTATTACTTGTGTTTGACAACACTGGATAGGTACATGTCCAGGATGGAGCTGATATTTGGAAGTGGTAAAAAGAGAATAAACAGTGCAAGAATCTTTAAAGACATGTTTCAATTTCATCTTTAAAAAATTGGATCATTCAGTTTGTTCAGATCTACTGTCTGTTTATATTTACTTCCCTGCAGAAAAAAATTTCTACATCCACAGAATTCAAACTCTGATAGCGACACACTCCAGTGCTGCCTCAGTCAATGGCAAATCATTTCCCACATTATACATGTCCAATTATTATTTATTTACGTTTAGATTTAATTATAAGGACCTAATATAACATCAAGGAACCAGTGGGGATTAAAAAAAAACTTTTGTACAGAACATTCTGCAATAAAATAACACTAGGGATTTGTATAAATACACAAAATAATGGAAATTCAGGGTCGGTATTGCTAATCCATCCTTAGTTCACCCCACTGTGCGTAAATATTGCTACACATACACTATACACATTTACCCACTCTTCAGACATTAGGTACAGCAGGTCAAGTTAAGATGCTAACTGTTTGGGTCAGATCTTTAGAATTGTTTTGACATATCCAAAATGTCCATATGCACCTCTCAGACTATGCATGTGGATGAATTCAGATGATGTAAGTACCTGGTTGCTTGTATCCCAGAGATCAGTGGAGGGAGTGTCTTCCTTATTGGAAAGGATGTATTTTCTGAAATACATATTATGTATACAAAGAGGTCAAAACAAAACAAACAGTGTTCACTGTCTTCCGTCAGTGTACGACAACCACTTACATAGTATTCAGCATCTTCTGAATGCTTTACAAATATTAATGAATTAATCCTCACAACAACATAGTGAGTTAAGTAAGCTTAGCACCTCTTTTTCCCCCAAAAAAGGATGGGGAACACATAGGAAAGCCCAAATATTTCTTGACTTACTCAAATGAATAGTAGCCGTTGATTTCATCATGACTTAGGCAAATAGGATCAGGTCCAGAAATGCTAAGTGCCAATAGCTATTGCATCTGAGAAGACTTAAAATAATGAGCACAGTATATGTAAAAAAAAAAAAAAAAAAAAGTTCACTTCTGCCACACTGTGAAAGATAGTGCCAAGTTACCTTTGAAATTTATTCATACCTGGTTAGTCTAATTCTTCTGCGTGCAATAGCTCCATGATATCTTCTCAAACCATCCTTCACAAGAAGCAAAACAAAACAGAAATAATCTGGTTGAATTATGATACATTCTACTTCGATCATGTTGTGCAAATAAAAGACAATTAAGGATTATTTACCAAATGTAAAGTATGTTATTTAAACCTCTCTCCCCCAAAATAACTGCACTTATTACAATGGAATTTCCCCAAGTATGAACTTGATCAATTTTTTTTAATGTGATGTATCCCTTTACATAGCAAAAATAATCTAAGTACCAGTCTGGAGTATCCTAGTAGTATAGTGTTATTATATGGACTTTTGTACAGGAGCAATAGAGAAGTACAATGCTAAACATTCTGCACTTGCCAAAAGTGCCACCTTTTAGATAAAATATTAATCCAAGGAACCTTCTACACAGTGCTCAACATGGAAAGCAATATTTGAGGGATTTCTATACCGCTTTAGCACATGTCTGAATTGGAGAGAAGAGGGCAGTGCATTATGAAAAATTAGAAGTGAGCACTGCACAATAGGTTTGATCACCACCTCAAACTGACTATTCAGTCACTACTTTCTTCCATTGCTATTCCATTTAGAATAGAAATTTCAAAAGCAACTAAGTAATTTAGGAGCACAAATCCCACTGAATGTCAATGGGACTTGTGCTGTGTGATTTAGGTGCTTTTGAAAATACCACACCTAATCCTCTGTTTTAGTCTGCATATTTTTTCTTCTTCAACTGCAGCAGAAAGAAGCTTCTTTTTTTATTTCTGCTTCAGAGCTAGTACTCTCTTCCTGTTAGAAAAAGGGTACTGGAGTTAATGCCCTGTGAGCTGCTGCTTAGTTGAAGCATTGCTTCTCTGGTTGAAGTTAAGGTGCCAAAGCATTTTTTGGAAGAGTGGAGATAATGCTGCTGTAGGAGTCAGTTTTCCCTTTTGAAACAAGATAGAGTTTAATGTGCAAGGTAGTGCGTTGGCTAGCGCGGAGTGCATATGACTCCTCATTTCCTTACAAAGTCATTACCCTACTAGTCATTAATTCACTATTTTAGTAGCTCTTTTATTCCTGCCCTGGTACTTTATGGAATTCTGAGATAAGAGGAAGAAAAAAGCGCTAACGAAAGATTACATCATAGCAGACTATTCAAAACAACAGTTTTATAGTCATGAAGGTTTAAAAGTTCAATGAACCACTTTAAGGGATCCATGTACTTGGGCTGGAATTTTCAAAGGAGCCAAAGGGAATTAGGCACTAACTCCCATTGAAATTCAATGGGACTTGGGTTCCGGACTCCAGCAACTTCCTTTACAAATCCCCAGGCTACTTAGGAGTTGTTCAATTACCCTTCAAGCTTTCTCAAGTTCAGAATATCCTCTTGAGGAGGAGGAAGAGAAAGTGATTCAGTTTATAACCTTGTTTAGCTCTTCACTTCCCTGGAATGTCTGACAGTGATTGGCTGTGTGATATGCATTATTCTGGGTTGGACTATATAAGCCATCTCTATATTCATTCTCTCTCTTGTGTAAAGAACTGACCTTTGTAGTGGGTTTGACTCTGGGAAAGGTGAGGAGCTCTCCTTTGTCATTTACAGCATTAAAAATCAGAAAAGCGCTGTTAATATGCCGTGCTTGGCCTATGGTCCACTCCTCACAGTTGTAGGCCTCAACACGAACGCCAACCTCAACACTGAAAGAAGAGTTTAAATGAATTATTTAACCACAACAGAATGACACAGAAGCAGCAATGAGCAGGGCCGGCTCCAGGCACCAGCTGAGCAAGCTCGTGCTTGGGGCGGCAGATTCTAAGGGGCAGCATTCCGCCCAATCCTAGGGTGGCATGGCCGCCCTTTTTTTTGGTTCACCGCTCCGGCCGCCCTGTAGGGGGCGGTGGCGCGGAGGAGGGGAGCGCCCTGCTGGGAGCGGGCTGCGCGCTCCGTCTGCCCCAGCCGGTGCCAGGTCTGCAACAAGCCCGGCAGCCCGCGTCCTTCCCTCCCCACCGACCTTCAATTCACCTGCAGGCGGGAGTGGTGTGGAGCCCTCCCAGCAGGCGGTGCGGCGGGAGGGGCCGAGTGGCGAGCGCCCCGGCTGAAGGAAGCCCTGGCCGCCCCCCTTCTCTCTCCCCCCCCGCTAGCTGGGGCACGCACTCCGTTGCCTGGGGCACGTCTGCAGCGCAGGGAGTCCTGCTAGCCAGCGCGGCCGGGGTTGGCAGCTGCGAACCGCCAAGTAAGTGGCACCAAAAGTTTGCACCCTGGCTCCGGCCGCCCTGCACGTGTTTTTTTTTTTTGCTTGGGGCGGCAAAAATGCCAGAGCCGGCCCTGGGCAATGAGACAAACATAATAACTAAAGCTGTTACACACTTCTTGGGTACAGGGAACAACAGTGATAGAAATCTGAATATTTCGGATATATGAATAATTAATTATTAGTTTTCTATCTGGACACAGAGGCATATTTCAGCAGTGATGTAAAAGGTGGTGTAAGATAAATGTCAGAACTAAAATAGGCAGAAAATGAATTGAAGTAGCAAAGTAGTGTAGATGCTTAGATACCTAATGATGAGCAGAGTGTGGGAACTGGGGGCTGGGGGGGAAAGACTTGGGGGTGAGAGCGAACTTGCACTGATGGGCATTCAGATGCGCAAGACAAGGGTAACTCACAGCAAGCTGGTGTCCTGGGGGGACCATATTCAGCCCTTGATAGAAGGGAGTAGCAGTGGGAGTTACATCTATTGCCACCAGGACCCTATTTGCTCCAGAAATATCGACATGGCATAATATAAGCTGAAGTTCAAGGAGGGACTGCTGTAACTTATTCCCTCCTGCGGCTTTTCCTGTGGCACTTCTGCCTACCTTCTTAGGTCACAGCCTCTGGTCTGGCTGAGCAGTGCTTATCACAGGACCAGGGGTCGGGGTTGGGGCAAAGATGGGTTTAAGCGACTTTGACATTCCCGGTCCCAGGCTGGCTAGGGGACTGTCACTTCCCTGGTGTCATTTACTTATGCCTGACTGCAAGGAGTCATTCCAGTAGCTGGGGATCCCCCTGGCAAAGGGGTATTGCAACCATACACACACTTCGCTAGGTTTCAGAAAGGGTGTCGTGGTGTAGGAGCCTCTATAGTAGCCTTAAGTCAATGGAGGTTTCCCCCACCATGGGGGGGATCCTCAGAAGGTAGGATCCACTGTGTTTAAGTCTGCTTTATCCCACAGGATGGGTACCAAACAGACTTACTGAATTCAAGCATCAGGCCCTTTCATTGTGCTAAATAAATGCCCATTAACACTCATGTTCTGCCTAACTTAGAACCAGGTGCAATTTGTATAAAGACTTCTATGGCTGCTGCACCCATTTATTGCAGGCAGCATTTGGTTGGGCTTAACACCAGATGTCCTCACCCTCCCCTTCTTCCTCCCTCTTCCAAAACAAGAGTTTTGCAACCAGGAAGCAGCTGCGAGGTCCTGGACTCTGCAATAAGCTCCACACAGATAAAGCCCTGTACCCACATGGAGTACACTCCAGGATCAGGGTCCAAATGACTACAATGTCCCATTGGAGACTTGGAGTTCCATTGGATTGCTTAGCATTACACTTGTAATTAAGGTTTGCAGAACTGGGACATCAATCACTAGAGGGTACGGATGATCTTTTAGATTTGAATAAACAATAAACCAAGCTTCAAACTATTTTTTAAATGAGAAAAGCAGAGCTATTTTAAAAACATTTCTTCATTAAAAACCTGATAAGCAAAACCCCAATGAGGGTGGTGAGACAAGCACATAGATAGTTTTACCTTTTCTGAAATGTGTTGTTAACTATTGCTTTGAAGACAAGACGATCACCAACAGTGGAGGGTCCCCGGAATTTAAACATATCAACTGATTTCAAGGTGGGATATGAATGACAGAGACGGCTGAATGAGAAAGCAGGAGAGACACAAAACAGAATATATGGTCTTGTAATTCTTTTTTCTGTATTGGTACAGCCCAGAATTATTTGGCATACTTAAAGTAATGAGGTCGGCACAAATTAGAAGTTCACAATGCAAGCCTAATTTAATCCCTAGACTTCTCATAAATGACAGCACGTTCAGCTATATAACAGCACAGAATCTGGGTCTCAAAATATAATACCACTTCTATTGTGCTGCTTCATTTGCAATGCACTTTACAAACATTTAACTAATTAAGCCTCTACTTGTAATAAATCTCATATTGGGCCAGATTATGAACCCCTTATTCTCATTCATTCAGTAGTACCTTACTTCTTAAAGAGCCCCACTCACTTCAACAGGGCTACTTTTGGAGTAAAATATTGTTCAGTGTGAGTAAAGAGTTCACAATCTGGTCCTATTCGAGTTAGTGAAACTTGCTCAGGGCCAAAGACAATGTATCTATGAAAGAACTTCAGCCCATACATCCTTTTTACCTCTGATAGTTTCTTCACATTTATCAGAAATTAATATAGTTTTGTGCAGTATATGATTATGTGAAACATAAATTAAAAATTCACTCAGCTGCAACCTGAATTAATTTGTAATGACACTAAGGAAATATGTCTTTTTTCTAAAAATTGCATGCAACTACTGAAGTTGAGTCTTGGAACTGAGTTTCTAAAAATGCAAAAAGACAGTTAGATGTACCACTGGCCATCTGCCCATGCAGAAATCCAAAGTTGAATGCCTAACTTTTAAAAATCAAGGCTTAAAGGTATATTCATTTAATATAAATTCTCTTATTATTTTTGTTTACCTCATCCTTCCATTCCCCATACCTTTCTGTTGTTTATTACACTCACTAGTCTCTCTTTTCTCAATTTAGGCCCTGATCCTGAAAACACTTAATCACATGCATTACTTTGCTCACCTGAGTTGTCCCATTGGAGCTTTGGAGCCCCACAGGATTACTCAGAATTGCACTTGTGATTAAGTAATTGCAGGATTGTGATTTTTAAGTTTGTAAATTCTTGTAGGGGGACTTTTCTATTGTTCTTCACAGCCCTAAGCCCCACTGGGGCTAATGCAGGATAAATAATAACAACAATGCAATTTATTTCCTGACTCTAAAGGGTCACATTCTGCCCTCATGAATGTGCAGGAAACGCCCATCAAATTCAGTGAGAAAAGCATACATATATGAATACAGAATTTCATCATACACATTTTTAGCCTAGAAATGACACAGTTTTGTAGTAGTCTCAGCTCTTAATTCAATTGCACTCTTTGTAAACTAATGTACCAGTATTGTTAAATGCACACAATTATCTGTTGCTAATTAATTGAATAGAGCATCTTTATAATAGACTAATACATTAAATGACTTTGTAATTTCATTAAACACAATTTGCTCTTCCTATTTAAAATGCTAAATGGGTATCTCATTTACAACACTCACAGTAAAAATACAACATTACCAAAAATACCAAGGGGATGAAAGGATGTAATTTTTTTAAAGGGGGATTTTTTCCTAAATATTAAGCTCTATTTTCCAAGAAAACAAAGCTCTGAATACTTCTATTGGTCATATAAAATATCAGAAAGGACAGCCCTGGTTCAAATGGATTTTCAATTACTGCAGTACTGTCTTTAAGCTGCTCAATTACTTTCACAATTTTTAGAAAGGAGACATAACCTTTTGAAAAACCTTTCTATGGGTGTTTTAAATTTATTCTTCAAGTATTGCTTTTTTCCCCTCCCCTCCGCTCCCCCTGCTTTCCCCATCTCAGCCTGTGGCCATAGCAACTCTAACTGATACCTACAAAGGTCAGAGCTAATTGTTGCCTTACAAAAGGTTTGTAGCGAGGGCAGCTATTTCTCAAGCATAAAATACAAGCTCTGTTTCCATCCAATATTGTCTCTGCCATGAGCTATTATTCCTAAAAGTTTCAACCTGATAAATTATGTTCAATATTCATAGTTCCAAATAAACTATTTTAACTTTCAGATTAGTTGTACATTGACATAGCCAAGGGAAGCAGAGCCTGATATTTTGGACCAGGTCTTGGGTACACTGGCGTAAATGAGGAGTAATTCCTTTGAAGTCAATGGAATTACACACTGATGTAAAATCAGTGCGTTTTCTAATTTGAATAAAATGAGCTGTTTATCTAAGAACTATAGAGAAACTAACTGGCTATGAATCAAAATTACATGAATAAGGAAAAGGAATGGCATTTATTTATTAAAGTAAAAAACAAACACATTGCTAGCATCCCTGCAATGAAGTAGGTCAGGTGGTGTGTGAGGGGAATTCTGATAGAAATTCAGGTCTCACATACAAAGAAGCTTTGTTTGTGTGGGAGACCAGTGTCAAGGCTGAGGTGATGGAACCCTCCAGCCTAAAGGCAGAAGGCAGAGCAGCTGCTCAGTTGGGCCATAGCCACTAATGAACCTACAGGGTGTAGCAATAATGCTTTGCACTTTTCATCTGTAGATCTCAAAGTACTTCACAAAGGATGCTGGGGAAGATTATTGCTCCCATTTTACAGATGTGGGAACTGAGAGACAGAGAAGTTACGTGACCTACCCAAGATAATATAGCGAGTCAATGGCTAGAATAGAACTCAGTTCTACTGACTCCCATGCCAGTGCCCATCCACACTTCCTGGTAGTGGCTCTCACATTGTTCAGACCCACTGGCCACACGCAAGTTCATCTCTGCTATATATAGGGGGCTGCAGACTGTCCTTGAGCAGCTGCTCCATTTTACGATTTCATTGATGCTGGGCCTGAGGATTTTACCATATACGGAAGGATATTCTTGTGGTCAAGACACTGCACTAGCCATCAGGATCTGGGTTCTATTTCTAGCTCTGCTATTGACTTGCTTTGAAGCCTCAAGCAAATCACATAATCTCTCTGTCCCTCAGGTCGCCATCTGTAAAGAGGAGATAGCAATATTTCTCAGCAGTGTTGTGAAGCACTCAGATGTTCTGGAAATAAGTGCCATAGAAAAGCCTATATATAAATATGTAGACATCCCCTGCACCTCAATAGGAAGAAAGATCACAATAGAGTTTATTTTCACTTCTCATTTGTAACTAAACTCTGTGATGACTTTAACATTAAAATGGTGGATTTGGAGTACTTTTGATTTTCCACACAGCATGTCTTTTCCGAATCATATAGGAAGCCATCAGAAAGAAAAGTACCTTGCTGAAATAGTAGCTACTGTCTCCATCCACGCCATAATCTGGCCACCAAATGTATTTCCATGATGGTTTGCATGAGGAGGCAGGACAAGTTCAATGCTCTGCACATGGGTTAGATCAGTTGAAATAGTATCTTCCTCTGTATCACTTACATTATCTGAAACATGGTAACAATATATTAATGGGATAGTTAATTAAGTAGAGTTATTAGCTGTCCCAAGAGGGGAATATACTCTTTCCCCATCACTGTAGGGATCTATCGGCTTTTGGTACAATTAAAAAAAATGTCTGTTGCATTGCCATTTGGGAATGACCACCAAACCCACACCAGGGAGTGCCTGAAGCCAAAAAGCTGCTTCTTCTTTCAGTAATAGCAACAGCCTGACGCTCTGCCAAGGTGCAAGGGCACCACAGCCTCTTGTCTGACAAGGGAGCAGAATGGAGAGAAACAGAACCTGTTCATGCTCTCTGTATGTGTGTATATATATCTCCTCGATATGTTTCACTCAATATGCATCCGAAGAAGTGGGTTGTAGCCCACGAAAGCTTATGCTCTAATAAATTTGTTAGTCTCTAAGGTGCCACAAGTACTCCTGTTCTTTTTGCGGATACAGACTAACACGGCTGCTACTCTGAAAAAAGAACACCCTGGTGGCAGATCAAATTCTGTTCGGAGGGATGAGATGCTATCCTTCATACAAAACCTATGTTAAAAGCACACTTTCAGGGAATCAGACAGCTATGCAGCTCTCCTAATTGAAAATGTAGGCAATCTATGTATGCCAGTAAATTTTCATTATTACTCTTGCTTGCTCTATTTAACCTGCAATGTGTTTTATAAGTAAGTAAAGTTTATTATATGCTTTTGATATAAATGTCTTGCAGTACTAAAAATTGCTATACATGTGGATTTAAGGTTGTAGAAAATTATTGTATCGTGTTATACTGTATTACTTGCGAAATAGTGTGTGTTCATTAAATACTGTATTATAGTGAATAGCCATGCACTGGGGGCAGAGTTAGGGTTGTGTGCACATTAACTTTGCCAATTCATCTTTCAAGTGTTTAACCATACAACCTTAGCATTCTCTTATTGAAACTATTTCAATGGACTTACACATGTGTATTTTCACCATAAGTATGTAAACATACTCATAAATATGCATATTATACAAGGTCTAATTAAGAATCTAGGGATAAATTGAACTCTTGTGTAACTCAGTGAAGGTACATCAGGGATGAATTTGGCGCCCAGCATCTTGTGTGTGATGACCAGGGCCGGCTCAAGCAAAAAAAGGGTGGCCGGAATGCTGAAGCAAAAAAAAAAAAAGGCAGCCGCGTGGAGGGCGGTCAAGGCGGCTCGCAGGGGGATGAAGGGCGGCGCCTTGCAGCCGGGCCTCTCCCGGCCGAGCAGGCGGAGCCCCCAGGGGCTGCAGGAGGTGCTGGCTCAGCCGCTCCTTTAAAGCGGCTCGGCTGGGCCGGGCTCAGAGCGGCGCGGGAGGCGGAGGCCAGTGCAGGCGGCGGGGAGTGGCGCGTCCCGGGGAGCCCGGCGGCACGGTGAGCCGCGGGGATCGCTAGTTCCTGCCCCCCCGGGCCGGGGTCCGTGCCCCTGCAGGGCTGGGCTGGGACTGGCAGAGTGCGGGGAGCTGGCCGGGGGCTCTGGAGCTGCGGACCAGGCTGCCAAAGAAAAAAAAAAAAAAAAAAGAACCACGGCAGAGCGGCCAGAATGTGCCGCCCCAAGATTGGCCGGAATGCTGCCCCTTACAATGTGCTGCCCCAGGCACATGCTTTCTCGTCTGGTGCCTGGAGCCGGCCCTGGTGATGACTTAAAGGTCACAGTCTTTTAGGTCTCAAGTCAGCAAGGTACTCAAGCATATGCATAACTTTAAGGATGTGACTTGTCTTACTGAAGTCACTGCTTAAAGTTACATGTGGGCTAAGTACCTTGCTGAATCAGGGCCTTGACTGTGAGGTGCTCTGAATTTAAAAAAAAGTCTTTGTATTTTCAGTTACATCTTGATATAATAGTTTCAAGTATCAGATGTGTAAGTCATTCCAAGTATGCAACGACACCTGCACCACAGGATTTCATGAGACACGAATTATGTCTTTGGCTTCTGCCCTAGTAAACTGTGATTTACGATCATCAAATAGCCATTTGGATGTCTGATTACCTTGCACTTTGGACCTACTTAAGGAGTTGTATAACTTGCATTCACAAGACAAACTTCATTTTCTTGCTTGATGTATTTTGTATATATTTGGAAGCTAACAATCTTCACATATACTAATTTCATTTTTGATCCTATTTTACTTTCTATATGTCACTGTTGATGTTGAACTGGTGTGTTCAATTGTAGAAAATATCTAGACAATTTCCCTAATGCAGCTAGGGCTGTGGAGACTGAACGTTACCACACTCTGATTGCTCTTTGGTGGTCTTAGTTTTCTACCAGAAAGGGATCACCATGACAATGTAAAGTGTCCATCTTGAGTCCGCACAACCCAATTAAATTGTGACGGCAGGTATTATATTTATAATAGATGTTGTTTTTCTCTGTAGATAATTTATTTGTGACTGAAGTTCATAAACAGAGATGTGTACTTCATACTGTAAATACTAGAAAGTTTCTTAAACATTTGTGAATAATTTCATGTTTTTGGAAGGGAATACAGCGACTTCGATTCATGTCATTTCAGGACAGAGACAAGTTTGGGAAATAAAGGCAAATCTAGGTGAAGAAAGAAACCAGTTAGGCTTCAGTTTTTCCTTTTGGTCACATGAGTGCTCTGCACTTTTCCTGCCAGGATTTAGATTACCATGCTGAAGAATTTTTCTTCTGTTTCTTGAGAGCAATCTCCTCACATGCACATAGTTCCTATTGATTTCTTGGAAAGTTATAGGCATCAAGCCAAATGGATTTCTCCTCCTATGTGTATCTTAACTGGTGCTATTGGACTTATTTCTCCAGTGCAAAATTCAGCTTGAAGTATGAATGAATTCTATAAAACCCTTAAAAAACAACAACCGTAAACCTGTAAAGTAAGGGTACATCTACACAAGGGGTTTAAGCCAATGTGCTTTTATGAGCCTCAGGTAACTCGCTGTATTCAAGTCATTCCAACAGTGTGCACACAGAATGCCTGTTCTGTTTTCAATCCGCATCATATGAACACATGGAGGCAGCTTTCTGCGAACTGAGGGCATGGCATTCTCTGGGGATAGCCCATGGTCCGTTGCTTTGCTGCTGAGCATTGTGCGTCCTGGGATTGTTTTCACTGTGAATTGTGGGAAGCCATGTTGGTTCACATTTTTAAAAATCCCATATTTTCTCTATCTCTGCCCCATTGTCTCGCACTGTTTATAGTTGCTGTCAGCCAGCATAGACACACCAATGCTGTGAGCCGCTGTGGTGGCAGGCATGAATATGCACAGGCTGCTTGGGCTGTATTACAGCACTCAGAGCTAGATGAATTCTGCACTGGACTTAGAATCATAGAATCATAGAATATCAGGGTTGGAAGGGACCTCAGGAGGTCATCTAGTCCAACCCCCTGCTCAAAGCAGGACCAATTTCCAACTAAATCATCCCAGCCAGGGCTTTGTCAAGCCTGACCTTAAAAACCTCTAAGGAAGGAGATTCCACCACCTCCCTAGGTAACCTATTCCAGTGCTTCACCACCCTCCTAGTGAAAAAGTTTTTCCTAATATCCAACCTAAACCTCCCCCACTGCAACTTGAGACCATTACTCCTTGTTCTGTCATCTGGTACAACTGAGAACAGTCTAGATCCATCCTCTTTGGAACCCCCTTTCAGGTAGTTGAAAGCAGCTATCAAATCCCCCCCTCATTCTTCTCTTCTGCAGACTAAACAATCCCAGTTCCCTCAGCCTCTCCTCATAAGTCATGTGCTCCAGCCCCCTAATCCTTTTTATTGCCCTCCGCTGGACTCTTTCCAATTTTTCCACATCCTTCTTGTAGTGTGGGGCCCAAAACTGGACACAGTACTCCAGATGAGGCCTCACCAATGTTGAATAGAGGGGAATGATCACATCCCTCGATCTGCTGGCAATGCCCCTACTTATACAGCCCAAAATGCCATTAGCCTTCTTGGCAACAAGGGCACACTGTTGACTCAGATCCAGCTTCTCGTCCACTGTAACCCCTAGGTCCTTTTCTGCAGAACTGCTGCCTAGCCATTCGGTCCCTAGTCTGTAGCAGTGCATGGGATTCTTCCGTCCTAAGTGCAGGACTCTGCACTTGTCCTTGTTGAACCTCATCAGGTTTCTTTTGGCCCAATCCTCTAATTTGTCAAAGTCCCTCTGTATCCTGTCCCTACCCTCCAGCGTATCTACCACTCCTACCAGTTTAGTGTCATCTGCAAACTTGCTGAGAGTGCAGTCCAAGCCATCCTCCAGATCATTAATGAAGATATTGAACAAAACCAGCCCCAGGACCAACCCTTGGGACACTCCGCTTGATACCGGCTGCTAACTAGACATGGAGCCATTGATCACTACCCGTTGAGCCCGACGATCTAGCCAGTTTTCTATTCACCTGTCTCACCACCAAGCGGATGATGTGGGAGCAGGAGGATATTCTACGGCAGCAGCAGCAGCAGGATAATCTACAGTGGTGGCAGCAGGATGAGGCAGAAGAACAGGACGATGCGAAGCTGCTGAAACAAGAGGACCAGTTTCTGGATCGCCAACAAGCATTCAGTGCTATTTGGGACCCAGGAAACCAGTGTAGATTGATGGGAGAAGATCATTCGGCAGAGCTGAGATGACCAGCACTAGCAAGAGAACTTCAGGATGCGGAGGGCCCAGGACATTACTGATGGCTTTGCACACCTGGCATTCCCAAGCTATATGGGGCAACTTACAGAACACATGTACAGAATGGTGGTCAAGTGTGCCTTTGGCCTTTGAAAGGCAGATGGTGCTGATTATGGAATAGGTTGGAAGCAACAGGGAAAAAATGTTCCAACCATAATATCTGCTTGTTGTGTTCTGCACAATATTGCTGAGCGCAAGGGGTGGAGACTTGCTCAGAGGTTTGAACAGCCAGCAAGGTGTCCCACAGAAAACATAAATACCGAGAGGAATGTTGCCAGTGATGCCTACTGTTTGTATTCTGAGTCAGAGGCCTGCACATATGGTGGGGTGGAGTGGGTTGGGATGCAGCCACACTTTCCCTGGCCTCTGCAACACTGTCCTTGGCCACTGCCACAATCTTCTGGGAGAGATGCATTGCTTTCTCCTTCTGGGTCCTCATGTACAGCCTCTACCTCCTAGCCAGCCTGGTTTCCCCTGTGATTCTGCCATTCTGACATCCTGTCCCACGTCTTCCTTCTTCTCTCCTTCAGGTTGGCCAGCCTGTCAGCAGTACACAGAGGCCCTGTCCTTGATGGTCTGGGAGTTGTAGGTGCTGTGATTGTGGGAGTAGGGGGAAAAAACAGTTGTTTATTGTTTGTGTCACAGAAAAGTCATGACAGCTTTTTTTAGTAGGTATATGTGACCTTATCTCCCGCTGAGACTCTTACCATTTTGGGGGGAACCTCAGAGATGGTAAGTGGTGTGAATGTATGGAAGGTAAGATAGCTGCTTACATGCTGTTTGCCAGAAGCTGGGAATGAGCGACAGGGGATGGATCACTTGATGATTACCTGTTCTGTTCATTCCCTCTGGGGCACCTGGCACTGGCCACTGTCGGAAGACAGGATACTGGGCTAGACGGACCTTTCGTCTGACCTAGTAGGGCCATTCTTATGTTCTTATGAAGGTGCTGAATGCATCTGGATTTCAGTCTACTGTGTCTGCTTTCATGCTGTTAGGGATGGGATGAGTGGTTTGTTCCAGGTTTGTTTTTGCAGTTTTGTGTGCTGGATGCACTTCTACGGGAGTAGAGGTTTAAAGGGAGGCTCATGGGGGGCAGGATCTGGATAGTAATTCCTTCTGTATGACCATTAAGCTATCCTGACTCTTGATAATGTTATACTGAGGCAGGTGACTAGGAGGCAGAGATTGGTCTTATACAAAAAGGCAAAGGGCAGATCAGAGAAATACATTGTGAAGTTATTCACCAGGATGGTCCCCCCAGAAGTGCTGCAGGAATAAAGGGGGTGGAAAACTATATTGAGGGAGGGATGTGTGAAACAAAATCGAGCTATTTCTCAGTGTTAAGTTCAGCTATGTCTCCCCTGCAGACATGGAGAAAGTATAGAGAAAAACAGATAGAGTCCTGCAATGACTGTCAACTAGAATTCATGTTACAGAGCATTTTTACCTCAGTGAAGAATAGTATTTTTTTGTGCCTTCACCGAGCATGCAGTGTGCATTTATACCTCATGAAAACTACAAAAACTAACCAAATTTCTTTTCCTGTAAGCCCTGTCTCAATAAACTGTTGAATTTTGCACAAATGAATGCGTTCAGTGTTTGAATCTGCTGCTGGAGGGGAGCAGAGAGGCACAGGGTACATTCTGTGATTGCACCATGCTGGTGGGTGCCATTTTGAAACAGAACAGAGAGACTGGGAGGAAGGCGGGGGCTCTTAGCTCACATCAGCCAACAATAATAATAAATAATACATTGTAAAGATAGCTGCTTACATGCTGTAGTTCCCTCCAGGGAACCTGACTCTTCAGTCCCGGCCCGGATTTCTGGATGGGACTTGGGCTCAGCCAATGGAAGGGTCCATTATAGCAAGGCAGGACTGAAGCTCACTTTCCAGCTGGTCATCATCAGGTTCCTGAGGCACAAAAAGATCCTGGCTCTCAGGGGGCATCCTCCTGCTCAGCCACCAGTGGGTCAAGCCAGTCATCCTTGGTGCGAGGAAAGAGTGTGGGCAGCATCTTGGACGGGTTGTACTATAATTGTATAGAATCGTGTCCAGTTCGTCAAAAAACGGTCAGGTCACATGTCTTCTAACAGATTGTCTCCTCTTATCCCTCGTTCCAATGCACTTTTTTCTGAGCTGCTTGTTCTTTATCCAGTCAGCGTCCCAGTCATGACCCCTTTAGGACATCTGCTTTGCAATGTCCACACAAAGGTCCTAACTCCTGTGGCACGCCACAAGAGCTTCCTGAGCTGACACTTCTCCTCAGGTGGCTGTGAGATCCAGGATCTCAGCACAGCTCCAGGCAGCTGGGTGAGGCATGTTGTGGGGCTTCTGCAGTGCTGTGTGGTTGTATTGCCAAAATAATGATATACTGGGATCGATGAGCAAAGTGGCAAAATTTGGTTCTGTGCCAGCTTTTAACGGGGGGGGGAAGGGTCATCCTGGAAACTTGTGGACAATAGGGAAGTGAGGTCACACAAATAAAAGGACAGGTCAGTAACAGTTGACCTGCAAAGCACTGTGGGAGAGCCATTGAAAGCATAAAAGTGGTGCACAGTGATTGCATGCGCATGAACAAAAGATCTAACTGTAATTCAATTTGAAGTATATCTAGTCCACTTTGCAAGAGTTCCCAATAAATGTGGAGTTAATTCACAGTAATGGGTTGCATCGTCTGTATGCAAGGTTTTCAAACCAGATTAACTCAATTTGATGAAGGGCAAACCCTAAGTGAAAAGTAAATGTGAAACAATGATCAACTCACACTTTGGCCCTGATCCTGCAACCTTACACCTGGAATCCCTGCAGGACAGATGGACAGAGAGAACCACCAGGGAGATTTGCTGTCCTCCACACCCTCACAAACCTGGCCCTTGCTAGCCTCTGGAGTCTTATCCTCAAAGGTTTTTATTTGGTTTTGTCCCTAGTCTGAATTGGTCACTTTTTGGTCCCCTCCATTTGCCCATAATTACAGGTTGTGTCTGCTTTACTGACCACACTGACCATCTTCCATATTACTCTCTTGCATTAGGGTCTCAAAGACATGTTCATGGTCCAGTCGTATTCTTCTTCTCTCAATAGCCAGACTATGTTCCAGATGATCTTGTGGAGACTGAAGCTTGACTGGTTTTAAGTTAACCTACACAAATGAAAAGAAGCTCTCATGTGATTGTATAATCATATCTGAGTGTGCTCTGAACCGCACTTTGAGTCAATGCCATTTAAAAAGTACGCTGGCATCAGCATCCTCTAGAACTCTTTACTGTAATTTCTGCAGTACAGCAAGTCATATTACTACAGATAAGGAAAGAGTTAAAGTTCAAGTGATTATGCAAAATCTAGGTTTCACTTTTAGTCCTGAGCCATTTGCCAAAATTCAACGACAAGGTGTTTTTGTTTTGAGAAACTAAAAATACAAGAAACTCACTAAACCCTATTTTGTTTAAAATGCTTCACAGAAAACAAAACTGGAAATGCATTTTCAAATTAGTCTGAGGAGTTAATATTGTGTGTTGTGTCCCAGGCCCACATTTGCATCCCTGCCACTACTTGCGCTCGGATATGCTCCTTTGAAAATGCCATAGCAGCACACTTTTACAGACTGTTTTCCCAACACTCTTCTTCTGCATGTGAAGCCCTTCTGCCCCCAGTGTATTTCCCTTTTCACACACAAAGCATGTGCAAATTCCATTTATGCCTGGCCCTATCGGTAGAATTGGTCAGTTTAGTGGCACAAACTGTTTGAAAATCTAGCCCATTGGCTTTTGAACAATGTTATCTAAACAGGGGACAGACAAAAACAGCTGAGTTGCAAGGAACAGCTGCTCTCTGTATCCACACCTATTCTCTGGTCCCTTCCACCTAGGCCCAGAAGCTTCAACAAGAACAGAGCCAACACCCTGCTGCTCCATGTGAGTGACAGTGGTTCCACTGTACCTCCACCCCAAATCCTCTTGTCGACTTAGAGGCTTAGACTTAGAGACTTTGTCAGGAACCTGGTGTGTTTCTAGCCACCAGCCACTACATATGGCCAAAACCGCCTCTCCCCTGGACCTACTGTCAGCAGGGCATGGGGCTACACCAGTTTTCCCCACTTCATGTTCTCTCTCTCAGCCTTGCCTTCTCCCTTTCTAAACAACTCTGCCACCTTTTCCTGGAGGGATGTTAGTATCACCAATCCCTGCTAACACTTCTCTGCCTTTGATTCTTTTCTCAAACCATCTCCTTTCCTCCACTTCCATCCCTGCTCAGAATCTTGCCAATTTTTTCTTAAAACAAAATTGCCCTCCCTCCCAGCAGAGTTAGGTAGTCATAAGGTTACCATATGTCTGGGGTTTCCCAGACATTGCCTCTTTTTTGATCCTCCACCTTCTGTCTGGGCGGATTTTTCAAATAAGAGGCAATGTCCAGGTTTTTTGTGGGGCAGATGTTGCAACTCAGAAAGAGAGCCCCAATTGGTCCCTCCCCTGCATCGACATCTGACTAGTCCCTCGCAGCTGCCAGATCCCATGCTGCCAGCTCTGGGGAGGGGGAGAGCCCCGCAGGGAGGTGCTGACTGATGGCTGTGTCCTGGGTCTGAGCCAGACCCAGCAGTGACACTGACCCCTACCGCAAGAATGAGAACACAGGTACCCCCTCCAGCACCCCAGGTTCCCCCTCCAGCACCCTCCCAAATACCACTCCCAATACACATACACCCACCTCTTCCAGCACCCCCCAGGTTCCTGCTCCAGCACCTCCCAAATACCACTCCCAGTACACATACACACACCTCTTCCAGCATCCCCCAGGTGCCCCCTCCAGCACCTCTCAAATACCCTTCAGTACACACACACACACACCCTTCCAGCATTCCCCAACTGTAGCCCCTCCCAGCTTCCCCCCCCCCCCCCCCC